TGTTCTCGCTGGCGGAGGTGGAGAGAGACCTGTCTGGGTAAAGAAGCCCTGGACAACCCTTATGATATGACTCGACTGTTGGCATCAAACCGCAGTGTTCGCAAATGGTTGAAGTACATGAGAAAGATCTGGCCGACATCCCGCTAGGGATATCAAGATATAAAATATTCTACTGCTGGCAGCTGGGGGTCTCTGGGGGGCCCTCCTATTTATCGATTTTCTGCCGTGTAACACACTATCTACCGGTTCATACCAGGGCTCAGACAGTGACTGAGCCTGCAGCTATACCTCTATACTGGCTATTACTCGCCTGGTCGAAGGGGTGCTGCGCAAGAAGAAGAAGAAGAAGAAGAAGAAGAAGAAGACTGAATAGGAAAGTAGTAGACTCAATAAGAAGGTAGAAGACTAAATAGAAAAGTAGTAGACTCAATAGGAAAGTAGTAGACTCCATAGGGGAGTAGTAGACTCCATAGGAAGGTAGTAGACTGAATAGGAAAGTAGTAGACTCCATAGGAAGGTAGTAGACTGAATAGGAAAGTAGTAGACTCAATACGAAGGTAGAAGACTAAATAGAAAAGTAGTAGACTCAATAGGAAAGTAGTAGACTCCATAGGGGAGTAGTAGACTCCATAGGAAGGTAGTAGACTGAATAGGAAAGTAGTAGACTCCATAGGAAGGTAGTAGACTGAATAGGAAAGTAGTAGACTCAATACGAAGGTAGAAGACTAAATAGAAAAGTAGTAGACTCAATAGGAAAGTAGTAGACTCCATAGGGGAGTAGTAGACTCCATAGGAAGGTAGTAGACTGAATAGGAAAGTAGTAGACTCCATAGGAAGGTAGTAGACTGAATAGGAAAGTAGTAGACTCAATAAGAAGGTAGAAGACTAAATAGAAAAGTAGTAGACTCAATAGGAAAGTAGTAGACTCCATAGGGGAGTAGTAGACTCCATAGGAAGGTAGTAGACTGAATAGGAAAGTAGTAGACTCCATAGGAAGGTAGAAGACTGAATAGAAAAGTAGTAGACTCAATAGGAAAGTAGTAGACTCCATAGGGGAGTAGTAGACTCCATAGGAAGGTAGTAGACTGAATAGGAAAGTAGTAGACTGAATAGGAAGGTAGTAGACTGAATAGGAAAGTAGCAGACTGAATAGGAAAGTAGTAGACTGAATAGGAAAGTAGTAGACTGAATAGGAAAGTAGTAGACTGAATAGGAAAGTAGTAGACTCAATAGGAAGATAGTAGACTGAATAGGAAAGTAGTAGACTCGATAGGAAAGTAGTAGACTGAATAGAAAAGTAGTAGGATCATTATACAAGTACTATAGGACTAAGTGAAAAAGAACGGTAATTCGCTAACCACAAAAACGGCAAAGCCAATACGCCCTCCTCTACTTCTCATCCCGGAAAGGTTTGCCATAGACGGACATTCCACTGCTGCCATCGTTCTCCACTATGTCCCCTCCCTGAAGTCCCTCTCCTTTCACTGACTTGAATATCTTCGAATTTCTATACGTCAATTCACTTCCATATTCTCCCGTACCTAAAACATACCAAAAATCCATCACCACAACTCGCCCATACCATAAATCCATCGCATCGCGCCTAGCATCGCTCCGCTCAACTTTCGACCACCTCCCCTTATTACACAGGCCTCTAAAGTTCTCCGCCGTTTTCGG